TTTGCCCATCCTATTATTTCTTCCAAACCTAGTTCAACTTCGAAGATGGGGAATATCGGTCCACTCCTTCTGGTACCTCCACACAGGGGCTAGGTCTAAATGCGGCTATAGTTCATTAACGAACCTTAATTTCTAATTTTGTATCTCGCTATCCTTCGCAGGGGAAATGATTACAACAGAGTCTTAGAACCAAACTCAAAACGCGTAATAAATCAGATAACTGTTTTAATATAAACAAGTGAATAAGCGTTAAGTTCGGCCGGGCCGAACTTTGAATACCCTCCACCATAGATATACTGACAGGTACTAGAAATGAAAATATAGGGAACATACCAAAAAGTGGACCTATACCGACATTTCTATGTAAACTATAATACCAATTTCAGAAATTTTTAATGGATAATTATACCCTCAGCCTTATGGCTGATGAGGGATTATACACTTTAACATGGTGAAAATGTGCCTCATCGATATATTGGTTCTAGACCCCATGTTTCTTTGGACCAAATCCGTTTCAGAAAATTTAGATTTCATCCAAACATCCTATAATTTCTTCCAAACATAGTTCAAATTCGAAGATGGGGAATATCGTCCCACTCCTTCTGGTACCTCCCACACAGGGGCTAGGTCTAAATACGGGTTATAGTTCATTATCGAACCTTGCGTTGTAGTTTTTTATCTCGATATCCTCCGCAGGTGATATAGTTACAACAGAGTCCTAGAACCAAACCCAAAACGCGGAACAAATTGCATAACTATTTTAATATAAAAAATGGGGTTATATGGGAACTACCCTAAAAAGAGGGCGAATAAAAATAATTTTTGGTAGGGAGATTTGTTACCATATACGACTACAAAATACCAAATTGCAGCAAGTTCGGTTGAAAAACGCGCTCAAGAACCCCAAAATGCCGAAAATTGGGGGTACCCTTATAAGGGGACTATCCGAAAAAATGGACCTATATTCATAATTTTTTGTGGAGAGATTTGGTGCCTGTTAGGAACTCAAAATTCTAAATTATAGCTAATTCGGCGGAAAAATACGACCAAAACCCCCAAAATACTATTATATGGGGGCTACCCGAAAAAGTGGACCTATATTTATAATTTTTTGTGGAGACATTTGGAACCCAAATCGGTTGAAAAAATCGCTCAAGAACCCCAAAATATCGAAAATTGGGGGGTACCCTTATATTGGAGCTTTACTTAAACGTGGACCGATAAAGCCCATCTTCGAACTTGACCTGCCTGCAGACAAAAGACGACTCTATGCAAAATTTAGGCGATATATCTCAATTCGTTTAGACGCTAGAGTGATTACAACAGACAGACAGACGGACATGGCTATATTGTCATATTTGTATACCCCCCTCCATACTATGGTGGAGGGTATAAAAATCCACGCCTAAGGCCATGATAGGTGTTGCAAAAAAAATACTCTTTAAAAAAAATCCACGCCTAAGGCCATGATAGGTGTTGCAAAAAAAATACTCTTTAAAAAAAATCCACGCCTAAGACTGTTATAAATGTTAAAAAAATGTTCTTTAAAAAATCCACGCCTAAGGCTGTGATAGGTGTTGAAAAAAATATTCTTTAAAAAATCCACATTTTTTGATCTACCAATTATTTATTTTGGTTTCATATCACACGCCTTCATTGAAGACATGTATTCGTTTACCAAATTTAATTTATGATCTCTTCCCACCCTTATTAGAAACGACTCGATTATTGTCCTTGTTAATGGACACACAACAACGAAACAATGGCATTCAGTTATGTAAGAGTAACACGACAGGAAATCCTGGTGTGAACTTGACATTTCGAAACAATTCGTAATAATTTGAAATTATTTTTTTTATTGCACCACTTATTGTTGTTGTGATCTACAAAAAATAAATCCACCACCTTTATTATTGTTTCCACCTTTCGGAGTCTTATTGTAAATCCAACATGGGCTTATCCAGATTTCTTCCGAACAGATTTCCAGTTCGTTTTTATTACACAAACTATTTTATTGTATGTAACAAACCACCCATGGAGTATTTGTGTTAATGGATTTTTTGTTTTCTTTTTCTTTTTTTTGAGATCCCTTTTGTTCGCATCACTGACCTTGGGATACCTTCCCCTAACACATTTCGTGTTAACTCTCATGAAATAAAAATCAATCGATTGACAATTGCTGGCTTATTGGCCAAATTACTCATTGATGTTTATTAGTCGAACATTTGACACCCCGCCACTCAGTTAATGAGCTAAACTCTTCAACTGGAAGGGAGATACAGAGAGAGTGGAGGGGGATATATGGCGAATATGATTTAATGTCCCCCCTCAAATGTTATTTTTCCTCTGGCCAAATAAATTTAATTATTTTAGTATTTGCCAGTTCCCAGCTAATATCATAGCTGAGCCGTTGCTGCCTGTTGCCATCGAACTTGTATTATGTTACATTTTGTAAGCCATGCCATCGATCACACGGTTCGATAGCTGGACTTCAGCCATAGATAAAGTGTAGATCATTCAAAAATTATTTTCAGAAATATGTCAGTTAACAACTTACTTCCAGAGGCAGGTACGTTCATGTAGTCATGTATGTTTGCGTCCACATGCTGGTCCAGCATTTATACCCCACAGCCAACCAGCCATCCAGCTATCCATCCATCGAAATGTCTGTGTCTCGCCATCATAAGCTTAGCAATTTAATGTTGTCAGCTTTGACGTTGGCATAAATTATCAACAGCTAGAGCCTGTGCCCAAAATGCTCGCTTTAGGGGTGGACAGGAGTACAAACATGGTCAGCAATGAGCGTTACCACAACAATGGCTCTATTATTAGAACAGCACTGTGGTACAGGGTGTTCTAATGTGGTACAGGGTATTATGTCTTGGTGCATATGTTTGTAACAAGCAAAAGGAAACGAGATAGACCCATAGTTCCCTTTGAGAATATGCATAGAATCACTTTCTAAGACGATTTATGCATGTCCACCCGTACGTCCTTCTGTCCGTCTGTTTGTGTTAAATTGCTAAAAAAATACAGGTCGCATTTATAATCCGATTTGGATGCAATTTGACACAGCTTATGTATTTAGATCAAGGACAAACCCTATTAAAATTGGGAAAAATCAGTTTAGATTTAGATATTTTCGTCCGATTTTATATAAATGGTGCACTAAAGACCCTAATTTTTTTTTTGATTTGCACAAACTTTGGTATAGCATACTGAATTGAGTCTGGAATAATGTGTGCTAAGTTTCGTGAAAATCGGTTCAGATTTAGATATAGCTTCCAAATATATTTTCGCCCGATTTTATATAAATTGTGCACTGAAGCACCTACATTTCTTTTGATTTTCAAGAAATTTGGCAAAGTCCCTATATATCTTTCGATATGTACGTCTGACGTCTGTTATGATACATATGTAGAATATACCGAAAGTGGTGAAGGCTATCATATAGTCGGCCCAGTTCGACATTACTACTTTACTTACCACTTCTGCGTGAAGCATCAGTTGGCTCGCTTTTACATGCCTTTTGAGCTGGGGCATCCTCATCCATTCTGTGTGTCAGAACATTTGTCCAATAAGCCGAACTTAAAACAAATTTCCAGGCGCGTCAGTCTTTTGCGCAGTTTTTCCAATTTGAAAGACCATGTTTCGAAATGTTGTCTTCCACTTGATCTTTCCATCGAATTCCGGGCCTTCCCCTTCTGCATGATCCATCAGTGGGCTCCCTTTTATATTCCCTTTGAGCTGGAGCGATGAGGATGCCCCATTCTCACAACATTACCTATCCAACGTTGTCGCAGCAACCCGATACGTCTGACTATATCGACGCCCTAGAATAGATGGTACAAGTCGTGGTTCATTCGACGCCGATATTCACCGTCGACCCAGGTAGGTCCATGCTTTCGATCCATATAACAGCACAGATAGCATCAGCGTCCTGTAATAAGTGAGTTTGGTCTGGCAGGAGGTGACCTTGTTTCTAAACGGCTTACATAGACCATAGTAGCATCTGTTGGCCAATATTGTCTTTCTCCGAATTTCAAAGCTGAAGTTATTAGTTTTATTTATGGCGGTACCAAGGTCTGCAAATATTATATATCCAAATAATGACATTCATGAGCAAATAAATGAGCTGGAGCAAAGTTTTACAAGCACTCAACAAATGTTAGAGGAAACCCAACAGAATTTAACTCAATGTTTAAGTGGAAATCCTCAAATCTATGGATTTTTACAGAATATACATAAACTAGAGATGAGTGCAAAAGAAATACGAGAACATATCAAAAAGCCGAACGACATTATCATACAAAGACGAATCGATGGTTCCGAAAATTTCTATCGTCCCTGGGCCGATTATAAACAGGGATTTGGTAATAGTTCTGGAGAATTTTTCATTGGTCTGGATAAATTGAACGAACTTACCAATTCACGTCCCTATGAGCTGCTCATTGTCATGGAAGACTGGGAAAATGATAGACATTTTGCTCGGTATGATCAATTTATAATTGGCACAGAAACTGAAAAGTATGTCCTCAAAGTATTGGGAAAATAGAGCGGATCGGGTGGGGATGGATTGTCACTTGCACGAGGTAAGAAATTTAGTACGAAGGATCACGACAATGATGAGTCGAGTTCTAATCTTCACCTATTGGCTTTATCCTAGTTCATACGATAGCAGTACACTCACAGAGAAACGTGTAAAAAATCGATTGGGTTATTAGTTTTTGAGTTATCGTGCCCGCCATTCACAAAAAATGTTTAGAGAAAAACGCGTTTTAAGTTCGAGAAGCCCGTCAGCCGTCACTTGATGCTGACACAATAAATCGACTATATCTTCAAGAGTTCTGGAGATTTTCACTTGAAATTTTGTAGGGATACTCATTAATTAGTGTAGATTCGAATTATATCAACACAATTTTTGACCCCGATAATGGGGGGTCCCCTTAAATGGAAATCCTCAAATCTATGGATTTTTACAGAATATTCATAAGCTAGAGATGAGTGTAAAAGAAGTACGAGAACATATCAAAAAGCCGAACGACATTGTCATACAAAGACGAATGGATGGTTCCGAAGATTTCTATCGTCCCTGGGCCGATTATAAACAGGGATTTGGTAATAGTTCTGGATAATTTTTCATTGGACTAGATAAAGTGAACGAACTTACCAATTCACGTCCCTATGAGCTGCTGATTGTCATGGAAGACTGGGAAAATGATAGACGTTTTGCACGCTATGATCAATTTATAATTGGCAGAGAAGCGGAAAAGTATGTCCTCAAAGTATTGGGAAATTATACTGGTTCCGCTGGTGATGGATTGTCATTTGCACGGGGTAAGAAATTTAGTACGAAGGATCACGACAATGATGGGTCGGGTTCTAACTGTGCTGTTTCATACACTGGAGCTTGGTGGTATAATAGTTGTCACTACAGGTGAGTCCTTTTCAATTGTGAATAGACAGATATAATAATTTTACATTTTTTAACAGCAATCTGAACGGAAGTTATTTAAGAGGAAAAAGTACCCAAACTGACCAAGGCGTTGTATGGTATCCATTCAAAGGAAGTGATTATTCGTTGAAGTTTGTTGAAATGATTCTACGTCCAAATTAATTGTATAATTTGAATGATTTTTATACCCTTCACCACACTGTGGTACAGGGTATTATGTCTTTGTGCATATGTTTGTAACAGGCAAAAGGAAACGAGATAGACACATGGTTCCTTTTGAGAATATGCATAGAATCACTTTTTAAGTCGATTTATGCATGTCCGTCCGTCCGTCCGCCTGTCCGTCTGTCTGTCCATGTATTTTTGTGAACAAAGTACAGGTCGCATTTATGATCCGATTTGAATGAAATTTGGCATAGGTCACTTATTCGCCCCAAGGACGAACCCTATTGAAATTGGGAAAAATCGGTTCAGATTTAGATATAGCTCCCATATATATATATTTAACCGATTTAATGTAAACGGTCCCTATATATCCTTCTATTTGCACGAAATTTGGTACAGCCTAATCATTTAGGTCTAGAATGATGCCTGCCAAATTTCGTGAAAATCGGTCCAGATTTAGATATAGCTCCCATATATAGTTTCGTCCGATTTCATGTAAATGGTGCCCCAAAGTCCCTATATATCCTTCGATTTGCACAAAATTTGGCATAACGTACTGAATTAAGCCTAGAGTGATGTCTGCCAAGTTTCAAGAAAATCGGTCCAGATTTAGATATAGCTCCCATATATAGTTTCGTCCGATTTCATGTAAATGGTGCCCCAAAGTCCCTATATATCTTTCGATTTGCACGAAATTTGGCATAACGTACTGAATTGAGCCTAGAATGATGCCTGCCAAGTTTCGTGATGCCTGCCAAGTTTCGTGAAAATCGGTCCAGATTTAGATATAGCTCCCATATATAGTTTCGTCCGATTTCATGTAAATGGTGCACCAAAGTCCCTATATATCTTTCGATTTGCACGAAATTTGGCATAACGTACTGAATTAAGCCTAGAGTGATGTCTGCCAGGTTTCAAGAAAATCGGTCCAGATTTAGATATAGCTGCCATATATAGTTTTGACCGATTTCATGTAAATGGTGCCCCAAAGTCCCTATATATCTTTCGATTTGCACGAAATTTGGCATAACGTACTGAATTGAGCCTAGAGTGATGTCTGCCTTATAGATTGATTTTAAGTAATTTACGCACCTGTGACAAGTGTGTTTGAAATCGCTTAATATTTGGATAGAGCTTCCATATATATTTTCGCCCGATTTCAAGTAAATTGGGCATCAAACTCCTCATGTTAGTCAGATTGACATCAAATTTTGCACAACGTACAAAATTGAGCATAGAATTACGTAGTTGCGTTTTCTAGAAGTACAGGCATAGCCCAACGGATGACCTATTTATATTTGTTTGAAGTCGATTTACATTCTTTATGGACAGATCTAGCTAGATTCACATTTAGATAAATATAACATATTATATTTCATCCAATTTCATGTTAATAGTCCTATTTAATATACCCATAGTGGTGAAGGGTATCATATAGTCGGCCCCGTCCGACTTTACTACTTTCCTTACTGTTTTTTTAAATTGAAATAAAATTGCTAACTACTTTATTCAAAAGGATGTTTCGGGGGGATGTGTTAATTTATTTATTTTATAACAACACTTTACTGAGGCGAGATTTATGTAAGGGGTACAATTCAATAACAGGCGTTTGTTACTTTCTAAATAATATCTGGCACACAAGGCATTGTACAGCGATTCATTAAGCACCTCTGCCTCGGCATTCCACATATGACCTCAACACCCATACATTCAATGACTCACCTAGAGTCTAATTAGGTTAGGGATGTACGGTTGCTAATTTGCAATCGTCCACTCAGAGACAATTGTCCATTGTGGTCATCCTTGGTACCTAAAAAGGATAAGACAAGAGAGTGGAAGAGAGGAAAGATAGTCGGAGTTGGAGAACGTAGAAAAGTGGTTAATTTAGCCATGTTAAATTCTTGACAAAGATTAGGATCTGCTTGGGGTCTATTTTGGAGAAGAAAACTAGGTTATCAATTTCATATCGTTCAAACTGTCTGTCGTTTCTGCCACTCAGCGATGGACATCTACATAGGATATGTTCAATTGTCCTCACATAGACGGCAGTAATACTCTCCGTTGGTGTCCCATTTTGATATGAGGGATCTGATCCTGCAGTGACCTGTTATGATCCCCACAGTCATTTTAATCTCTCTATCTCTCTCTTTCTCTCTTATTATGGGACAACAGTTCTTCGGCGAGAGAACTCAGACCAGATAGCTTTCGAAATTCTGCAGCCAGGTTCTCTTGACCATCTGTTTTGCCGACTACCACGCCGTTGATCAAACGGATTCTGCCAATGAAATAGCCAATGGACTATTGCACATATCTTTCAATCGGAAGGTTGGACGACTGTGAACCCCCTCGAGCAAGCTCGTCGGCAATCTTATTCCCTTCTATGTTGATATGTTTTGGGACCCAACATAAGTTAACTATCCGTAGTATATCGTGAACAACCACCTTGCAATCACGAACTGCTTTTGAGTTTATAGTGCACGGCTTTAAAGCCTTGAGGGCCGCCTGTCTATCGACATACATAGTTGCCGGTCCCGTACTATCGGCAGTAAGTGTTTTGACTATCTCGGCCGCGTTCATGATTGCAAGGATTTCTGCTTGAAAAACGCTGCAAAGTTCGTTAAGTTTATATGAGTTGTAGGTTTCTAATTCCCTGCAGTAAACGCCTACATCAATGCCTTCCTCCATATTTAACCCGTCTGTGAAAAACGACAGACCTGGCAGAGGCAAGGATTCACTAGTCCAGGATTCCCTACTAGGAAACTCTACTCTGATGGCATTAAAATCTCTGTGAGAGGGAATATAGTCACTAATGTGAGTACTCCTCCTCAAGAAGTCACAACCTGGCGTCGTGTGGATGATCCGTTTCTCGAAGACACATCTAACAGTCTGAAATTTAATCAGAGAGTCCAGTGGTTGGAGGATCAAGATTGCATTCAAGGCTGCCTGTGGTGTGCTTCTAAGTGCCCCGGTAGTCAGGATCGAAACCGATCGCTGTACTGTATTCATTTAAGTCAGCAGTATCCTTTTATTGACCCCTGCCACCATGCAGGGCATCCATATGGAGGAATGATGCGTACGACCGTCACATACATTTAGAGTCAAGTTAGGTCTGTACTGGATATATACGTGTATAACACCTCCACTTAGGGTCAAATGCTTCCCCGGTAACTATGTTGGTATAAGGTATGCACATAACCTACATCCATAGGACCTCATCGAGATAGATCTGTGGTGGATGCGACTCTTCAGAATCAACCTACAGAGTTTCTTTCTGTCCCGGCACGGACCGAAAGTGTTAGAAGTAAATATTCCGGCACCAAAACAACACGTTGACATACATGTATCAACTGATGTGGCAGCCTCTGGTCGAAGTGTTCTACCGAAACATATTGACTTCAGTATAAATTCCTCTTCCTCTACTAGGATACATAAAATACTGCAGTTAGTAGAGAAACCGATCAACGAGATTCGAATGGATAATTGCCGAATCTAAAATGTTGAGTCCCGAAGAAAAATTATGAACAAACTGACACACTCCCTCAAAGTGGACGATTGATAGCACTGTGCAACACAAAAAATATTTATCGGGAAATTCCAAAAACTTATGTTAAAGGGGCTAAAAATATATGACAAGTGTATCGCCGTTTTGAAAATATACATACGTCGGAAGGTAACCTAAAAAAGGCGGGGCAATATTCCCCATTTCAAGAGAATTGAAAATATCCGTATTATGATTCATCGGAATCCTTGCATTTTAAGCATGTGGTTGTCTTTGGCAATATTACTGGTATTAATGTGAGCAATATTTTTTTTCTAATACGTTAACCCTCAATCGACATGCTGAAGGGATACTTTCGATCCCTTCCTCCAGAAATGATTGAAAAGTCATTTCAAACGGGACTATAGCAGTTCAGAATATTCAACAAAAATGTTCTCCATAAAATTTTACTATGACTTATGAGTCCGAGTCCACCAACATGGGCAAGCGTGGTTAATGAGTTTCAGCTTTCAGTGTACGCTAAATGAATGAGAGTCCGATTTGGAGACGAAATAGGAGTGACTATTGAAATAAGATTCAGCTTAGGTACTACTTATGAGAAGCAAGATTTTTTATGGTATTATTTACAGATTATTTACATAAGTAACCGTTAATTTCAAATATTTAAATCTTAAATGGCACTGAATGTTTACACTTTCGTATATAAAATACTGAAGCAATCTACTACTTTTTTAAACAAATCAAGATAACTATGATTTAGTGTAACCGTATTTACTTAATACAATTAGATTTAAGCATATGAAAGCAACCCTAGTTCAAAATTCTGTAAATAATATTAGAATGTTATCGATCTTTTAAGAATATTATCGAAGAAAATACAAGAAGTCGCTGTATTTAGAAGATGGCGAATAGCTACATGTTTATCTATATATATAAAAGAGTTGCGTTATAAGTGACTGACTGATCATCAACGCCCAGACGAAACGGCTAAAGCTAGAAACTTGAAATTTGGAATGTATGTCGGGTTTGGTGAGTAGGCGTGTGATAAGGCGGGGTTTTTGGAAATTCGTACTAAAAGGTACTAAAAAGTACTAAAAACTGTATTACGCGGGAACGGTTAGATGTAGAACTCTGAAATTTGGTATGCATCTTTGCGTAGGATGAGTGAAGTGGTATGTGTGCAAAAATTTTAGAATTTAGTACTAGAAGGTACTAAAAAGTACTAAATATTATATTTCAATGGAACCGGTGGAAATATATATCTGAAACATGGTACGTAGCTTAAGCTATTACAAATAGAATAATGTGCAAAAATATTTTTTGGAAATTAGTACTAAAAGGTACTAAAAAGTACTAAAACTGTATTATTACGGAACGGTTGGAAGTAGAACTCTGAAATTTGGTATGCAGCTTTGTCAATGATAAGCAAATAAGAATGTGCGTGGAAATTAGTACTAAAGGTACTAAAATGTACTAAATACTATACTACGATGGAACAGGTAGTGATAGATAGCAAAAACTTGGTACGTAGCTTAAGCTATTACAAATAGAATGATGTCCAAAAATATTTCATGGAAATTAGTACTAAAATGGTACTAAATAGTACTAAAACTTGTACTACGTCGAAACACTTGGAACTACAAGTCTATAAATTCTGTATGCAGATTTGCAAATGATAAACAACTCAGAATGTGCGAACAATTTTGGAAATTAGTACTAAAAAGTACTTTTATTATACTACGTAAATATTATACTATGTAACTTAAGCTATTACGAATAGAATGGTGGGCAAACATATTTTTTGAAATTAGTACTAGAATATATTAAACAGTTATAAAATGTCTAAATGTGAAACTTCGCATATAGCTTTAACTATTACAAATATAATTTAATGCATAACATTTGGAAATTAGTGCTAAATAATAAAGTACAATAGAACTGGTATAAATAGAAATCCAGAATTTATGTTGTAGCTTACTCTATTGCAAATAGAATGCTATGCATAATTCTTTTAAACTTAGTAATATATACTGTAGTATAATGAAACCTGAGGGAATTGAAATTACAAATAATATGCTATACAGTAATCAATTTTTGGAACTAGTACTAAAATAGTACAAAATATTAAATTGTAATGGGAGAGAAAAGATTGAAATCTGAAATTTAGTCTGTAGTTGAAACTATTACAAATAGAGCGATATGCATAAGTATTTTTGGAAAATTGTACTAAATATTGTACAGTGAATGGTAAAAAATATAAATGTAAGTTTAGAGTGCAAAAATGTCCAATTCTTAATACAAATAAGAGGCTTGGTTTATTGGAAATTCGTACTATATGGCACCAAAAATACAAAATATTGCACTGTGTAGGGAAAAGTATAATTCTGAAATTCGGCATGTAGTTTTGTATATTATAAACAAATAGAGTACGAATGGAATACAAGTACTAAATATTGTGTACGGTAGAACGGATAAATATAGGAACTTATTATTAGATACTTATCTAGAACTATGTCAATAAACATTTATACACAAATATTTTGTAGAACTAAGTTCTAAAATGTATTAAAAAGTACACCACATTGTATACGGTGGTACGGGTAGATATAGAATATGGGTACAATACTTTTTCTATGAAAAACAATGATTTTCGCAATGTATGATATTTGTACTTAAAGTGCTAAATATTGTATACGACAGAACGAGTAGAGGTATAGTCCCGAAATTTTATATGTATATTTAGCTATAACAAATTAAAGAAGGTTTTTTTGAAAATTGTTAGTAAAAATTACTAAATAGGAAACGAGGATATACTAAAAATACCGAAAAGTTTTTTCATTGGGGATTTTCTAACACGTAATGCACCAGAAATACTAAATTTCTGCAATTCTAATGGAAATCTTCGCTATAAAAGCATGTCTCTGCATAACAAATGATGATAATGGTACACAAGTACTAAAACTTACTACATGTTTTAAAAAACGTATTATGGTATATTTGCATGTGTCCATCGGGAGGATCGAGAAAATAGTGCACATTCAGAAAATATAAAAATAAGTAAGTTGTACTCGATTTATTATGATAGAAGCATCAACGTTTCTGTTCGAAAGAAATACGGAGTAAGATCAGAGATTCTGTATAAAAATAAACATTTATACATAAATATTTTCCAGAAATAAGTTCTAAAATGAACGAAAAAGTATAATACATAGTAGGGGAGACTGGGGCACCTTCGGCATCGGGGCACCTTCGGCAATCGCGTTTTCGATATGAAGTTCTCACCGTACATCACTAGTTTCGATACATAGGTATCGAATATCGAAATAAATAACTGACACAAAGTTTGACATTTCTAGCTAATAAGCTTATTTAGATACATAGGTTTTTGTATTTTTATAGATGTTTCTGTAATATTTCAATTCCATTTCGTAAGTATTTCGTGTATAAAACTTTTAAAATTTTTAAGACAATATTATTAAAAAGTGGTTAACTACGATGTGTATTATTATAAAAATATTTAAAAATATAATCTTTTTACAAATCTGATCGAAAAAAATGAAAAAAACTATAAAAAGTACATTCGGGGTACATTCGGCATTTCAAAGTGGGGCACATTCGGCCATATACAGATTGTGCAATATTATTTCCGTAAAAGGTTTTTGAGTTTGTTTTTAAAACTAATCCTTTAATATGGTTCGAAATTGCATATATAAGATCAAACGTGCTTGTATTGACGAAAATGCGATAGAAAACCCTTATTTCTGATGGTGTGTGCGACCTTGAGATGTAAACGTCCGCCGCTCGAAAATAAAGCCATATAATTCAAACATTGTGTGGCGTATTAAAACCTAATAGAGCCTTTAGAGGATCAGAATTTCAACCAGACTGATAGCGATGACAATTACCCGGCTATGACTATGGTGCCGAATGTGCCCCATCAAATGCCGAAGCTACCCCAGGTTGGGGCACATTCGGCGAATTTGACTTTTTTTAAAAAACTTTAAAATTTTTTAACTAATACTATTTTTTTATATCTTTTTGGTACTATTTTTTATAATTAAGTGTCAGAGGACAAAAATCAGCCATAAAGTTGTTATATATGTTGAATAAGTACTGAGATATAGAGCTCTAAAAAAAAAGTGCCGAAGGTGCCCCAGTCTCCCCTATAAGGCGGTACGAGTGGATATTAAATTTGGTAAAAGGCTTTTTCTATGAAAAACAACAATTTTTAGACTTTTGTTTGGCATTGACATTTAAAGTACTAAATATTGTATACGACAGAACGAGTAGATGTAGATTTTTTTTTAATTTAATGGAAATTGCTTCCTTATAAAGGCAGGTCTCTGTATAACAAATGATGCGCTGTACAAAATATAAAATTACAATTTCGTGCTATATACAAGTACCTTAACTTACTACTTTTTCCCATTACAGGAAGGAACAACATAATTTGAGAAACTTCCTATTTATATTAGTCAATTTGAAGGATCGAGACAATAGTACACTTTCCGAAAGTATTAATATAAATAAGCTGCACTCGATTTAGTAGGATAGAGGCATCAATGTTTCTGTTCGAAAGAAATGCGGAGTAAGATCTGAGATTTTCTTACAAAATTGAAGATATGGGACCTATCATTATTTAAATTGTTTCAAATTTAAACTTAATCCAAAAGTATATTGTGTAGCTAAATTAGTGTTTATTTATTTTAACTTTTAAAAGATCCGCTAACGACGTAGCGGGCCTATGCTAGTTTATTATTAAATTATCAGTATTCCACGCTGTTTAGTTATAAGTCTTTTATTCAATATATTGGTTCCTCGGTGCGTCAATTACTTAAAATCAGTCTATAATATATGGGAGTTATATCTAAATCTCAACCGATTTTCACGAAACCCGATTTCCCGATATATAGGGACTTCGGTGCACCATTTACATTAAAACTGACGAAAATATATATGGGAGCTATATCTAAATCTTAACGAAACTTGGCAGACATCATTCAAGGCTCAATTCAGTACGTTATGCCAAATTTCGTGCAAATCGAAAGATATATAGGGACTTTGGTGCGCCATTTACATGAAATCGGACGAAACTATATATGGGAGCTATATCTAAATCTGGACGATTTTCACGAAACTTGGCAGACATCATTCAAGGCTCAATTCAGTACGTTATGCCAAATTTCGTGCAAATCGAAAGATATATAGGGGCTTTGGTGCACCATTTACATGAAATCGGACAAAAATATATATGGGAGCTATATCTAAATCTGGACCGATTTTCTCGAAACTTTGCAGACATCATTCAAGGCTCAATTCAGTACGTTATGTCAAATTTCGTGCAAATCGAAAGATATATAGGGACTTTGGTGCGCCATTTACATGAAATCGGGCGAAACTATATGTGGGAGCTATATCTAAAACTGAACCAATTTTCACGATACTTGGCAGACATAATTCTAGACTTAATTCAGTACGTTACGTCCAATTTCGTGCAAATCGAAAGATATATAGGGACTTTGGTGCACCATTTACATGAAATCGGACGAAACTATATATGGGAGCTATATCTAAATCTGAACCAATTTTTCCCAATTTCAAAAGGGTTCGTTCTTGGGCCAAACAAATGAGCTGTGTCTAATTTCATCCAAATCGGATTATAAATGCGATCTGTACTTTGTTTACAATTTAACACCAAGAGGCGGACGGACGGACATACATAAATTGACTCAGGAAGTGATTCTATGGATATTCTCAAAAGGAACCATGTGTCTATCACGTTTCCTTTTGCCTGTTACAAACATAAGCACAAGAACATAATACCCTGTAACACAGTTTGGTGAAGGGTATAACAAGAAGTCACTATCATTAAGCCATCTTCATGCAAACACTATACATCGTATCCATCTGATAAGATCGCGCAGAGTAGTAATAAAGTGTGTATTCCAAAATAACCAAATCCTCGTTATTTTTTATGAGTCGCTACAAATTTCAAAGCAAGGCCGTTTTGCAGACATCCAACACAGCCGATGTATCATTGACGCCCAACTAGAGGCCTGTTACAAAACATAATTGGAATAAAAATAGAGTTGATCCGTTTCACAGTACTTTTTCCAACAAATTGTATGAAAGCAATATGCAAATTCATTTTTCGTGCATGGTATCAAAGAATAAGAATAAGAAAAAGAAATTGAAAATATAAAAAAATACAACTACAACTGTTTACCTCATCCCCCAGAATTCCATTGCAAAATTATCATTAAAACTGGCATATGCTCGCAACTTCGTTAGCGAATGTAGGAAATATTTTAACATGTATTAACATATTATTTTATTTCCACAGAAAACTGCATATGTCAGAAAAAATAATCCACACATTATTATCGATCACAAATTAAATTTGAGTACCATTTTGTACCAATTTTCATGATTCGAGCTCTTAAGGTCCACCCAAATCCAAATTTGACCAACTTTAGTTCCATTTAGCACACATTATGTTCACAAGTACTCTCCTCAACCATACAACAAAACTTCCTGCATACCCCGACCCTTCACCACAATCCTAAATCAAAATTTCATGATTCCAACTCTATTGCTTCACCCACAATTCAAATTGTACCAAGTTATGTTCACATTAGTACACATATTTACAACTTCCTACATATCCTGTCAACAGTGGTCATGACTCCAAATTTCCTGTTTCTAGCTTTATTGGTTTCGCCTAAAATTCAAATTGTACTAAATTTAGTACCATTTAGTACCCATGAATATAAATTGCTTAAACTGAATCCTGACCGCAATCCTACAGTGATCCTGACTCCAAATTCCATTGTTTCCGCTCTATCGGTTCATCCAAATCCAAATTGTACCAATTATAGTACGATTTAGTACTTTTCGTACACATCAGTTAAAAAATTCCAAAACTACGTACATATCCCATTCCTACAATCCGACGGTAATGTTAATTTCAAATTGTTGGATTCCAGCTCGATTTGTACCTCCAAAATAAATTTGCACCTAATATAGTTCCATATAGTACTTTTCGTACACATGAGCACACGCTTTCAAAACCAACTTTTTAAATGGAACCTACTTCTCAACCTTATTTCACACTCAAAATTTCAAGTTTTTTGCGCTATCCTTTCACATGCTACGAAATTGTACCAAATTTAGTACATTTTCTTACTTTTCGGATAGTTATAGTTCGAATTTCCAAAGCCCTATGGTTCGGGTCAGATTTAGATATAGCTCTCATATATATTCGTCCGATTTAATGTAAATGTTGCACCAAAGTCCCTATATATCTTCCGATTTGCACGAAATTTGGCATAGCGTACTGAATTAAGTCTAGAATGATGTATCAAAAGTTTCGTGAAAATCGGTTCAGATTTAGATATAAATCTCATATATATTTTTTTGTCCGATTTTATGTAAATGATGCACCAAAGTCCTGAAATATCTTTCGATTTGTACGAAATTTGGCACAACGTGCTTAATTAAGTCTAGAGTGATGTGTGTTAAGTTTCGTGAAAATCGGTTAGGATTTAGATATAGCTACCATATATATTTTCGTCCGATTTAATGTAAATAATGCCCCACGATCCCTATATATATTTCGATTTGTACGAAATTTGGCATAGTGTACTGAATTATGTCTAGAATAATGTGTGCTAAGTTTCCTGAAAAAAACGGTTCAGATTTAGATATAGTTCCCATATATATGTTCGTCCTATTTCATGTAAACGGTGCACCACATTCCCCATATATATTTCGATTTGCACGAAATTTGGCATAGCGTACTGAATAAAATCTAAAATTACGTGTATAAAGTTTCGTAAAAATCGGTTCAGATTTAGATATAGCTCAGATATATATTTTCGACTCTAAATCTGACTGAATAATATGAAATTTAACATAGGTTGCAGAAACGCATGTGTATGGATGGATGTTGAGATCACATATTTCAATTCGTTCGATTTCATGTTCCTTCGAGAGAACATTGACATGCAATTTTTAGGATGCATATGTAGAATATACCTAAAGTGGTGAAGGGTATCATATACTCTGCCCCGTCCGACTTTACTACATTTCTTACCGGTTTTAATAGAGACGATCAAAGGAAAGAATTTCGCAGAATTCACATCGACAAATGTCAAATTCTCCAAAACGTTTACCAATTTCCTATTCATAATCAATCCATGGCGAAAGAAATCGTCTAAGCCACCCCTCATACGCCTTTGCATTACAATGTTGCTCGGCTTTTTTATATTTCCTCGCATCACCAAGCAAATATCCATGGCCTTCGAATTAGCGATAAGCAGTGTATTATAGTTACGTTGTCCATTTGCATTGCCCTAATATACTCCTGGTGGGATAACACGTGCCCTGTATTGCTGATTATGAATCGTTCATTATAGCATTTGTTTTGGGGAAACATTTTTTGCTGGAAGGCATTGGGGAACTTCTTGATAAAAATGACGAAGTAAACAAGTGCAGCTTAAAGATAACATTTATATTTAAATCGAAAGCAGGGAGAAATTTGAAATCATTCTTCAGAAATCAAGAGAAACAACTGGACGTATTGCCGGAATGACAGGCTCGATAAAAACGCAAGTGTTTGGATTCATTTTAATAATTTTCAAAATTTGCAATGGACTTCCAGTGGATTTGGTAAATAATTGTTGCGATACAAAAACAAAATTCCTAAAATAAGTTTTTCAAATTTTATTGTTTTTTTTATTTCAGATATCTGCAAATATAATATCTCCAAATAATGAAAGTTTGATCTTTTTTGACATTCATGAGCAATTAAATGAGCTGGAACTAAGTTTTACAAGCACTCAACAAATGTTAGAGGAAACCCAACAGAATTTAACCCAATGTTTAAATGGAAATCCTCAAATCTACGGATTTTTACAGAATATACATAAACTAGAGATGAGTGTAAAAGAAATACGAGAAAATATCAAAAAACCGAATGACATTGTCATACAAAGACGAATGGATGGTTCCGAAGATTTCTATCGTACCTGGGCCGAATATAAACAGGGATTTGGTAATAGTTCTGGAGAATTTTTCATTGGTCTAGATAAATTGAACGAACTTACCAATTCACGTCCCTATGAGCTGCTGATTGTCATGGAAGACTGGGAAAATGATAGACGTTTTGCTCGCTATGATGAATTTATAATTGGCACAGAAGCGGAAAAGTATGTCCTCAAAGTATTGGGAAAATACAGCGGATCGGCTGGTGATGGATTGTCATTTGCACGAGGTATGAAATTTAGTACGAAGGATCACGACAATGATGAGTCGAGTTCTAACTGTGCTGTTAAATACACTGGAGCTTGGTGGTATGAAAAATGTCACGACAGGTGTGTACGTTTCAAATATGAATAGACAGATATAATAATTTTACACTTTTTTAACAGCAATCTGAACGGAAGTTATTTAAGAGGCAAAAATACCAAATCTGGCCAAGGCGTTGTATGGTATCAATTCAAAGGAAGTGATTATTCGTTCAAGTTTGTTGAAATGATTCTACGTCCTATTTAATTGCATAATTTGAATGATTATTTTTTTAAATTGAAATAAAATTGCTAACGACTTTGTTCAAAATGGGGTTTCGTGTGAATGTGTTTATTTATTTATTTTATAACAACACTTTACTGAGGCGAGATTTATGTAAGGGGCATAATTTAATAACAGCCGGCTGTTGCCCTCTAAATAATATCCGGCAAATAACGCATTGTACAGCGATTCATTAGGCACCTATGCCTCGGCATTCCACACATGACCTCAACGCCCTTACATTCAATGAATCTAGTTAGGTTAGGCTAGGGATGTACTGTTGCTAATTTGCAATCGTCCACTCTGAGACAATTGTCCATTGTGGTCATCCTTGCTACCTAAAAAGGAGAAGACAAGAGAGTGGAAGAGAGGAAAGGTAGTCGGAGTTGGAGAACGTAGAAAAGTGGTTACTTTAGCCATGTTAAATTCTTGACAAAGACTAGGATCTGATTGGGGTCTATTTTGGAGAAGAAAACTAGGTTATCAATTTCATATCGTTCAAACTGGCTGTCGTTTCTGCCACTCAGCGATGGACATCCACATAGGATATGTTCAATTGTCCTCACATAGATGAAGGATCTGATCCTGCAGTGACCTGTTATGATCCCCACAGTCATTTTAATCTCTCTTTCTCTCTTATTATGGGACAACAGTTCTTCGGCGAGAGATCTCAGACCAGATAGCTTTCGAAATTCTGCAGACATGTTCTCTTGACCATCTATTTTGCCGACTACCTCGCCGTTGATCAAACGGATTCTGCCAATGAAATAGCCAATGGACTATTGCACATATCTTTCAATCGGAAGGTTGGACGACTGTGAACCCCCTCGAGCAAGCTCGTCGGCAATCTTATTCCCTTCTATGTTGATATGTTTTGGGACCCAACATATATTAACTATCCGTCGTATATCATGAACAACCGCCTTGCAATCACGAACTGCTTTTGAGTTTATAGTGCACTACTTTAAAGCCTTGAGGGCCGCCTGACTATCGACATATATAGTCACCGGTTGCGTACTATCGGCAGTAAGTGTTTTGACTATCTCGGCCGTTTATATGATTGCTACTTGAAAAAAGCTGCAAAGTTCGCTAAGTTTATATGAGTTGTAGACTTCTAATTCCCTGCAGTAAACGCCTGCAGCAGTGCCTTCCTCCATATTTGACCCGTCTGTGAAAAACGACGACCTGGCAGAGAGAGAGCCACTAGTCCAGGATTCCCTACTAGGAAACTCTACTCTGATGTCATTAAAATCTCTGTGAGAGAGAACATAGTCACTAATGTGAGTACTCCTCCTCAAGAAGTCACAACATGGCATCATGTGGAGGATACCAAAATTCAGCGACTTCCAGGCATCCGTTTCTCGAAGCCTCAGGGCACATCTAGCAGCCTGGAATTTAATCAGAGAGTCCAATGGTTGGAGGTTCAAAATTGCATTCAAAGCTGCCTGTGGTGTGCTTCTTAGCGCCGCGGTAGTCAGGATCGAAGCCGCTCGCTGTACTGGAGATAGATCTATGATGGATGCGACACTTCAGAATCAACATACAGAGTTTCTTTCTGTCCCGGCACGGACTGAAAGTGTTAGAAGTAAATATTCCGGCACCAAAACAACACGTTGACATACATGTATCAACTGATGTGGCAGCCTCTGGTCGAAGTGTTCTACCGAAACATATTGACTTCAGTGTAAATTCCTCTTCCTCTACTAGGATACATAAAATACTGCAGTTAGTAGAGAAACCGATCAACGAGATTCGAATGGATAATTGCCGAATCTAAAATGTTTTCCGTAAGAATAGAGGTGTTAATTAATCTTTACTGAGTCCCGAAGAAAAATTATGAACAAACTGACACACTCCCTCAAAGTGGACGATTGATAGCACCGTGCAACTCAAAAAAATAGTTATCGGGAAATTCCAAAAACTTATGATAAAGGGACTAAAAATAGAATAGACAAGTGTATCGCCGTTTTGAAAATATACATCGGAAGGTAACCTAGAAGGGCGGGGCAATATTCTCCCATTTCAAGAAAATTGAAAAAATTCGGATTAGGATTCATTGGAATCCTTGCATTTTAGGTATGTGGTTGTCTTTGGCAATATTACTGGTATTAATGTGAGCAATATTTTTTTTCTAATACGTTAACCCTCAATCGACATGCTGACGGGGTACTTTCGATCCCTTCATCCAGAAATGATTGAAAACTCACTTCAAACGGGACTGTAGCAGTTCAGAATGTTCAACAAAAATGTTCTCCATAAAGTTTTACTATAACTTATGATCCGAGTCCACCAATATGGGAAAGCGTGGTTAATGATCTTAAGCTTTTAGTGTACGCTAAACGAATGAGATTCGGATTTGGAGACGAAGTAGGAGTGACTCTATCGAAATTAGATTCAGCTTAGGTACTACTAATGAGAAGCAAAATTCTTGTCAAGTAATGGTTGTAAAAAAGTTATTAAATTCAGAGATGTAATTTTATGGTACTATTTACAGATTATTTACATAAGTAATCGTTAATTTCAAATATTTAAATCTTAAATGGCACTGAATGTTTACACTTTCGTATATAAAATACTAAAGCAATCTACTTTTTTTTAAACAAATCAAAATAACTATGATTTAGTGTAACCGTATTTACTTAATACAATTAGATTTAAGCATATGAAAGCAACCCTAGTTCAAAATTCTGTAAATAATATTAGAATGTTATCGATCTTTTAAGAATATTATCGAAGAAAATACAAGAAGTCGCTGTATTTAGAAGATGGCGAACAGGTACATGTTTATTTATTATTAAATTATCAGTATGCCACGCTGTTTAGTTAAAACTCTTTTATTCAATATATTGGTTCCTCGGTGCGTCAATTACTTAAAATCAATCTATAATATAAGGGAGTTATACCTAAATCTCATCCGATTTTCACGAAACCCGATTTCCCGATATATAGGGACTTCGGTGCACCATTTACATTAAAACGGACGAAAATATATATGGGAGCCATATCTAAATCTGGACCGATTTTCTCGAAACTTGGCAGGCATCATTCAAGGCTCAATTCAGTACGTTTTGCCAAATTTACATGAAATCGGACGAAAATATATATGGGAGCAATATCTAAATCTGGACCAATTTTCACGAAACTTGGCAGACATCATTCGTGCAAATCGAAAGATATATAGGGACTTTGGTGCACCATTTACCAAAAATCGGGCGAAACTATATATGGGAACTATATCTAAATCTGAACCGATTTTCAAGAAACTTGGCACACATCATTCTGGACATAATTCAGTCCGCTATTCGTGCAAATCGAAAGATTTTCAGGGACCATTTACCAAAAATCGGACAAAAATATATATGCGAGCTATCTCTAAATCTTAACCCATTTTTTCCCAATTTCAATAGGGTTCGTCCTTGGGCCAAATAAGTGAACTGTGCCAAATTTCAGCCAAATCGGATTATAAATACGACCTGTACTTTGTTTACAATTTAACATCAACAGACAGACGGACAGACATGCATAAATCTACTTAGAAAGTGATTCTATGCATATTCTCAAAAGGAACCATGTGTCTATCTCGTTTATTTTTGCCTGTTACAAACATATGCACAAAGACATAATACCCTGTACAACAGTGTGGTGAAGGGTATAACAAGAAGTCACTTTCATTAAGCAATCTTCATTCAAATACGATACATCGTATCCATCTGATAAGTAGTATTAAAAAATGTGTATTTCAGAGCACTACCTAAAATTCAACCATGGCGTTCAACGTTTTTCACCACAAAAGTAGAACACATGTATTCATATGAATGTTACCGAAATACGTCGACGTACGAATTTTCAAAGTTGAACAACGTTACCTAAAATCCGACGGAGCGTACAAAAATATTCAACTTCCCCACTATAGCAAAATGTTGTGTACGGCCGTATTACCCAAATACGTCGAATCCATATCTTCAAGCGAATAATACAAACCGCAAAATTAAATTGAAAACTTTTTAAATTAATCCAAATATTTTAAGTTTCCAATCGAAATTTCATATTTCCTCAATGTTTTGTTTTTATTTTCAACAAAAGAAAAAAATGAAAAATACGTTCTGTCAAAGTTGAAATTTTGTACGTTCGACGTATTTCGGTAACATTCATATAAATACATGTATTCTACTTCTACTAGGTAAGGCTGGAACAAATTCAACTATAACAGAACGTAGTTTTGTTTTTTTTTCTTTTGTTGAAAATTTAAACGAAACAAAAAGAATATATGAAAATTTCAATAAGAATGTGAAATATTTGAATCATTGTATATTTTTTTTTTTAATTTGTTTCGCGATTTTGTTTAGTTCGCTACGAGATATCGATTCGACGTATTTGGGTAATACGGCCGTACAAAACATTTTGCCATAGTAGGTATGTGGAATATTTTTGTACGCCAAGTTGAATTTTAGGTAACGTTGTCAAAATAACCAAACCCTCGTTATTATTTATGAAACGCTACAAATTTCGGAGCAAGGCCGTTTTGCAGACATCCAACACAGCCAAATTTCCAATGACGTCCTAGACTGGAGGCCTGTTACAATATATAATTGGAATAAAAATAGAGTCTTTTCAATAAAGTATATGAAATTTTCAAAACAAACTATTTATTTAAATTCAATAGTTTTTTTTTGGAAATTTACATAAAAAATTACTAAATTAACAACTTTATTGGTTTTCTGTAAGCTTTAGTTAAGCACCCTGCAGAAATGTGTAAAAATCTCCAATAAGACTGCATATTAGGAGCATTTCGCCAAAACTGTTAATAATTGTATTTCAATTTGCAAATAGTCATACAAATACGTAATGCAATTAATTCGGACGTAGAATCATTTCAATAAATTTCAACGAATAATAATCTCCTTTTAATGGATTCCAGATAACGCCTTGTCCATATTGCGTGTTTTTACCTCTCAGATAACTTCCGTTCAGATTGCTATTGAAGA